AATCAAATGACGAGTTTTCAAATTATTATCCAATCAGATCAGCATACTGAGACAGGCTATTATTAACCAATCATTAATCAGTATAAATAATGATTGACAGGTGAGAGAATGATAAAAGCTCTCAGTCCTCAGGGAAATTAACTGAACTCTGAATAGATTCAATGAAAAGACTAATTTGGTTCTAAATTAGCCATTTTTTCTCATCAAAAAGACGCAATTAACAGACAAATGAATATGAAAATGAAATGAGATTTTATGTCCTACTTTTTTTCTCCTGATTTGACTAATGAACAAGGGGAGATTCGTGCGTCTGTGGTATACTACTGAGTGTGCAATGAGGACAATTTTGTTAGGACAGCAACTTCTCCCTTAGAAAATAAAAGAGTGCTGGAACAGTCCCTTGATGAAATCCAACTCCCACACCCTTAAAATATGTTACTTCTTCTCCCTTATAATATAAAAGAGGTATAGCATCTTTAAATCTCCCACACCCTTATAATATGAAAGTGGCATTGCCTCTTAATGTTACTTTTTCTCCCTTATAATATAGCATCTTTAAATCTCCCACTCGCTTAAAATAAAAAAGTGGTACAGAATCTTTAAGAAATGTAACTCCCACGACCCACACTCTTAAAAAATAAGAGGTAGAACACCTTTAAGCAACTTAACTCTCACTCAGTTAAAATATATATGCAAGTGGCACAGAATCTTTAAGTAATTTAACTAATGATATTTTTAACCTAAGAGATGTTTGTATAAAAGTGCCATTCAACTTTATAAATCCTGGTTTTCTACTTCTCTATCTATAATTACTGAATGTTTTTAGCATTATCTGTTTCAACTATAACCTATCATTATATACTACCTTTTTTCAAACTTGAAAACTTCACTCCAGACGCGCCCAGACTTCTTAGTACCCTAACTGTATTTAACATATCTAGCTATGTGAACGCTCTGAAAGCTTAACCGTCTTTAAACTTAAAAACTTAGGACGTGCCTAGACTTCTTAGTGCATTAACATTTAACATATCTTCATCATTATTAGCTATGTGGGCACTCTAAATAGACCTCAACACACTCTGAGCTAATTTTTCCACCGCTGTATCAGCTCAGTGTGACGGGCTACAATTGAAATTAAGAAAGCATAGGTTGAAGTGAAATGATCAGTGTTTTTCTCATCTTTTATTCAGACAGATTTTACAGGACATTCACCTTATAGTGTGTATTATTTACAAAGCCAGTCACACATTGAAAATATGAGAAACAAGGCAGAAAGATAATCTGATGAGTAATATATTTAACTAAGACTATGCTTACTGGAATGTGTAATAAACAACACCTGCTATTATATATATTATTCTGTAAATATAGAGTGTAGCTAGATTACATCTATACATGACACTTCCTAGGTTACTTTGACATCTTCCGCAATTAGGACACCCACCAATCACCTCATATAGTACCATACTGAAGTGTCAATATTAGCAATGTGGACTCTCTGAAGGAATGCTGAGTCGACAAACCAAAATACTACTCAAATACCAATCATTCAATATTATGAGCTATGGCAATGTAGAGTCTCTTAAAAAGATGCCCAGTTGACAATCCCAATTCTTAGGTGTATCAGAAGAATGATTAATTATGCCCTGCTTAGCTCGCCATACCTGCCAATGTGCTTAAAGGAGCTAATGATTTGGACAAAGCTCAATTGAGCTCAATGTGTTCAAGGCAATAAGACATCAGGGTTTACATAGATAACACCACCACCAACTCAAAACTTGTGACATCATCATTATTGTTGTGGCAAACGATGACATCATTAGTTTCTTGTGACATCATCAATTTTAGAGAAATTACTCATTAGCTTTACGTAGCAACAATAAGACAAGACAAATAGATGTATTTCTGATTTAAAAATGACTACATCACCCCAATGCCCTATATAACTGGTAGAAAGTGAATCATTTATCATATTATGTCTACAGTGGTCTGGAATTCATGAGAATAATTGCATATATTGTATTTTGACCTTTTAAAATTAGCCTACAAATAGATAGAGAGTCTGTCTGTTAGTTGAATATTCAGAGAGAAGATACAGCTCATCCCCAGTGGCTGGTGATTTCAATGAATTTGCCGATCATGTCTGACAGAGCTCGGATTTACATAATTCAAAAGAAAGAAAGAAAAAAAAGAAACAACTATATTTTACAAGGATAACAACTTAGGTTCACAGTTAAGGATCCTTGTCCATTGGCCAAACCTTCTTGGTATTGATCTTTCCTGGATTATCCGTACCGGTACCCAACTCGCTTGCATAACAGAAAGAAAACCAAACAGTCTGAAGCTATGAATCTTCAATTAATTATAATAATTAACTTATATAATTCCTTTTCTAAATATCAAATCAATATTAATATTACACCTGCCATTTTCTTCATGAATATTTCAAACTATAAATTGTCTCTGATAATATGAATAATGTTTGTTAATGCTGGTTTAATCAGGGAAATATATGTTTAACAGGTTTGTTATTAACACAATGTTAGATAGTCAGTCAGGTTTCACTAGCAGAACTCGATTTTCAAACATTAGGTTAGATTTACAACATCCTCTAACAAACTAGACCATCTCACATGTTTTATATTTATAATGGACCTTTTATAATACAAGCAAATTTGGTGATAGTGACATCATAAATGCTTAGTTTTGGTGTAATTGCAGGAACCACAGACGCAGGTCTGATGGAAAATTTCAATGGTGTAAATTGATGATATCAGTGTCAACAAAACACATAAGTTTAGAAAACCTCTTTATAATCCCTTTTATGACTTGGAAGCATATAAAAGAAAACCTTAAACCAATTGAGATACAGTACTAACTGACAAATCAATATGCAATGAACACTAAAATATTTGAACTGGCCTAAAACCTCTCTCCTTTTTACAGAAAAATGGACAGAAGAATTGATCCAGAATTCAGTATACCTACCAAGAATAAATTTTATCATTTCTTAAGAATTCTGAAACAATATAACGGAACAATAAATACTTAATCTGATGTCACAGCAGAAAATGATGATAAAAAACACATGTATTGATGATGTCATAACTTGGAGCAGACGTCTACCACATGTCAGCGAGTCTTTCATATACAGAGAAATTTGAGTAAAATGGTTTCTTCTAAAAATATTTAGGTTTTCGATATTTCCTCAATTAAACTTTCGCACTGGCTATTTGCACTATCACGATGCGTGTTCTCTATGACGGCTAACAACAGTACGGATAAGATAACACACAATATGCGCGTTAGTTTTGGGTTTTTTTTTTTAAAACGTGAAGCCATTTTTATTGTCAAGATGGATATGCAGGCTTAACATCTATTGAGAGAGTATTGTTTGGGCAGTTAGGGATAGATAGGGATGGCCATGATTTTTAATGTACATTTTTGTACCGTTGCGGTGCGAATAGCCACACCCTTAAATTTTTACTAACTGAAATAATTTCCCTATAGATGCTTTTAGAATGGAAAAGTACGTCCTTAAGAGGCATATTTAGCAATTGATTATACCAGTACAATACAAAACACAGAACACGAATAAATTCAGCAGGGAATGCGCCTTTTTCAGAACACCTCATACCATTATAAGAATTGGTTTTGAGTAAATTTAATCAAGCTAAGACAAACGGCTTTCCTCACCAACCAGACATTTAGAGAATGTTTTTAAACTGGAAATAACAGACAACATCATCAAAAATTTATCATCTTTCCATTTATAAAACTACACTCTATATTTCATTAAAAATCTAACTGTATTCTCTATAATTTACACCCAAGATCTTCTTCACCTTTTAAAACTTAACAAAATATCTCTGTTTTAACATAGAAGAACAATTTTCAAACATATTTATAACTCAAGCTAAAAGAGCATCTATTAGCTGAAGATTAGGATTAGCTGAAGATGTTAAAATATCACTCAAAAACCTGGATTATTTTCTTTTTTAGATACACTGCTAATGATGCCTGTGCCAGTGCTCTTGAGAGTCAGCCCAGCGTCATTTCTCACTCCCTAATCCCTAACTTAATAAATTACAGTTATTTGATTGGTTACTACAGAAACTTATATTGTCCAATCAAATTCTTTGAATTAATATAGATATGACAATCTTAATCTTGATAAGATAACATGCTTTCTTAATTAATTTCTAGAGGATTAACCACTTAATCCTGCTTAAATAGATTATCTTGACCAATCAAAAATCATAAAGTTGTTTACATGATCTTATCAAGTTTTGATGTTTATAATAACAAGCCCTTTGGACATTATTGATCATCTTTAAAAGAGTTCAATGGACCCTTCTTTATCAAATTAAAAATAACTTTGAAAACTTGGGTAAACAGGTTTTCATAAATTTATTTATTTTTAATCAATGGTTGATCAAACGTAAGACCATCTCTAGTTTTGTGTTTATTATTGATTTCTTAGGGTGTATTTGCCAGTCGTGTCAGACTGAAGCTAGAAATTGTCATACGTTTTTGACATCATATCGCAAAAGCTGCTTATAATATTTCAGTACTTTTGAGATTGTAATGCCATAAAACTCTTAGTTTCTGACATCTGACTGAAATTAAATTGATGCTATCAGTGTCCCTAATACACATTAACTGTTGAGAAAACTTGTAATAATCCCTCTTAAAGCTAGAAACTGATTTGAACCCTTTTAATTTTCATAAGATACCAAATGAATGGTCAAAATTTTCATGAGTTATTCCGTTAATAGAAGCAGACACAGGAAAGGAAATCAGAATGATATCAAATAATAGTAGAAATTACCAATTACCAAAAAAGTAAAAGGCTACATTCTGGAGACGATCTAAACTCTAGATATGCTAACAGTGTTAGAAATGAATACCCTACGCCATCATAGAGTTAAGATCATTTCGAGAATACGCAGCCTGGTTTTGAATCACTGTAATTTTTATAAAGAAATTGATTGACTTACTTGTCATATTCTGACATATCAGCATTACATCTCTTATCCTTTTTCTTCTCCCAATTTTTACCATGACGACACGTAGTCAATAACACTATGTCTTTTCCATTGTGAATATGATACAGTGAGTTCCGAGTCTCTGATCCAATTCCTGTTAAATATCGCTTTCCTTTAAACGCCAGTAAAAACTCTCGAGGAGAAGGTATGTTGTTAGACGACAAATGTAGATATCCACGATCGCCCCCTCGCATCGGTAACTCGTTGGCGAATAACGGAAAGGAAATATCGAATCCATCTCGGAACTTATGAATGGAGAAACTGGCCTTAGCTAAAATGGCTTCTCCAATATCGAAGCCTAAATGCTCACTATAGTCCGGCCAAGTTCCAGAATAGAGGTTGAATATAATATGATTCCTTCCATTATTCCAATATGGTAAACTTTCTAATCTATTTTGAACATCAGGAAAGAAATTCTGACTTAATTTATCACGATCTAATGTATCGACTGATGGGATAAATAAACACGCTTGTTTAGGGTCCGTCGTGTAGAACCGGGTCTGTTCAATGGCTGTGAGGATTTTCGTGTAACTTTCCGACAGCAAGTCCTGTGGATTACGCGGGTACACATAGACTCTAAATCCATTTTTACACAAGGAGAAGTCGAAGCAGTTAGACATTCGACATCTTTGTTGATAAGTTTGTGACGGAAGCGAGCGTCTGAATTTCGTTGAAATATGGAAGTCTTGACTAAAGCTGAAGTCTGCTCCGTCTGCAAAAGACTGGAACGTCTTAGATGGGAACAAACGCTGTCCATTTTGAATTTTATTGACCACCAAATACCCTGAGAGAATGACTATTCCGCATAGGCAAAGCAAGGAATAACGTCGGACAGCCTGCATTGAGTTTGAGCATAGTTATCCATCAAAGGACGCCCTCGTAGCTTGATCCGTGAACCTAGCACTTCCAAATTTAACAGAATCCCTCGGTTCGACCTTGGGACTAAACTTCACATAAAGGTAAATAAAAAGATTCAGTAATCGGAGTGGAAACTCCGAAAAACGTCAAGTAATTTCACACAATGTCTTCTAAGCCGCCATATTGGATAGACGAGACGTTACGGGACACGTTCGGGTCAATTCGCCACAATGTGAGTTTGGGCGAGTCGATTTCGTCAGTAGGTTAATTCTATAAATAGAAATTAAATTGAGGTGAACTCCATGGCTTGCATGCTCTAGTCATGATTATGTTGTTTTAGTGAATAAATAAATAATACGAATGTCTGGTAGTTTTTTGTTAAATTCATTTCCCACCCAATTTCCTGTTAGCTTATTCTTTTAAACTCTTATCTAAGAAAGTAAGCCGCTAGTTAATTAAAGGTGCCTTACCACTTCACTGCATCTGATGCGTTAATTTGTTAATTAAAGGTGCCTTACCACTTCACTGCATCTGATGCGTTAATTTGTTAATTAAAGGTGCCGAAAATAAAACCCCTGTGTATAAAAACTTTTCTTTGAGAACAAGACCAACTGACAGGTGTAGACCTAAATTTTGTGTCCATCTGACTGACATCTGCCTTTGGTTTTCAACATCTGTGTCGAAACTCCTAACCAAAGGCTACCGAGACCATTTTTAGAAATTGATCATTGACATGATGCAAATTGCAAATGAAAAGGGTAAAAATATGCCTGAAATTTGAGCGAAATCTTACATTTATATCAAAAAATTGAACGACTTGTTGTTGTCTGCTATTGAACAGTACATCATGAGTTATCTCCCATATAAATCATTATTTCGTACATTTTTACTATGAAGTGAAATGGAGTTTTACGCCCTACTTTTCTGGTGCTGATTGGAATTATGAATACACCATTCGGTGAGCAATGGGAAAAATTTGTCAGGCTTGTTGACTAAAAAGTGGTCTTTGCAACTAAAGATATAAGACAAGGTGGCCATAGAAGAGTAAGCATTATGCTATCTGTTAACTGCACTACATCTTCTAAGGCCTAATTACGATGATATTATGGCTTTGGCTTATTAGTCATGATAACCTCTGACTCCGATTATAAACCTTCGACTCCGATTAAGAACCTTTAATCTATGATGATAAATTTTGACCTATATCTGAAGTCCATTCGTTTCTTGATGTGGGCGTGGCCAATAAAATATTCTCGACTTTGTGCGCAGCCTCTTAGAATCATGCGATCATCAACTTCCGGTGTCATTTCCCAAGTCAACAACTAACTTTAAGAAACGAGTTTGTGAACTTAAAAACACACCAGGAAATCATATATCAATGAAACTTTATTGAAATGAAGGTGCTAGGATTTATTTTGATATGTTTGTCAAGTTTTAAGGTTGGTAGAACTGTTTGGGGTCTTGAATATGCGATGGGAGGGGGCAATGGAAGGCTTATGAAAGAACTTTAAGATGATGAAGTGATAACTATAACGTTGTTATGTAAACATTGTCCTATTATTACTCATGTATTGCTTGTAGTGTGGGCATCTTTCATCAAATTTTCCAAAACTACAAGTAGATTTACTTCTGGAAAGAATTTAGAAAGTTTGAATGAATCTAAAAGTAAATTGAACTGATGGCGTATTCTTGTAAATTATTATGAAAATTAATTGCTTATCCTAGTCACCGAAGATGGTAGTACATTAAATTGAAGGAAGTGACTTTTGTTATTACAGTCTACTAAATAAATATGTGTAGTCTGCCCTAACTAACTATAGAAAATTTAACAATTTATTTCAAGTTACAACGGCTGTAACTCTATCCTGTGCCTAATTACATGATTAGGTCTACTAGTCCAAAATATCTGCCTCTATTCCAGCCCCTGATAGCTATTTTGACAATTGTTGACAGGGATAGGGTATGAAAAACTAGACCCTGTTTTTTGCGGGTTTTTCCGCACCTTCAAAAGTGCAGGTTTTTTAACCCTAATTTATATTTAATCCACTCAACCTCAGATATATTCTGAAAGAAGGATTTTTCCTCATACACCATTTATGTCATGTCTTACGATTCCATGTAAAGGTGTTTTACTGTAACGAAATTAATCTCTTGCAGGCCATCAAGAACGGTGTGGCCAACCAAAAGTTCTAAATCATTTCAAAATTGTACAGAATGCATTCTTATCATTATATAAACCTTGACTGATATTTAGGCATCTAGTTTATCTGAAACAAGGTTATGTATTAGGTCCACGTTTGCGATGGAACCACTGTGAAAAGCAAACATCAAGATGGATTTTGATTGGTTGAATTTTATAGTAAGATTATCCATTGGTTGAAAGTCATCGTGTGATATTTTGATGATCTTTCATTGAAGATTTATCTGAATACATGATAAAATTTACTATAAATTTTTACAGTATGAAGTTATCTATAGATAACATACAAATAGACTCATTGGCATGTCATCAAACTTTTATCTTGCCTTCAAGTTGGATTCCCTCTTGTTTCAAAATTTCTGACTTTGGATTTGATATTCATCGTATAGGGATAGGTGCGCCATTTTGAAGAGAGTCTTGAGTATCGGTACTATATTTACTATATGTAAATAATCTTCAGAAGTACTAGAAATGTATGGAAATCGCACACCTGTCCCTTTAAAGAGATGTAAATGTATCAGAGACACTGTGATCATCAATATACACCATTCCAATTTTCAATCAGAGCCTTTGACAAAAAGACTGTAAACGTTATGGCTTTGCCTTCACATACATTCTATTTAGACCTCTGATTGGCTGTATTATCATACAATCCAATCAAATCGCTTCATTTACTAACTTCTGTGATACATCAAGATATTTTACAGATTCTGTAATAACTTGACATTGTGATAATCAGCATTCAAGATTCTTCTCGATTTGATTGAAATTTAAGGACTGTTTATATTTTATAGGTTGCTGGTAGTGTTGATACTCTGTACTATGCTTCTATTACTCCTGAAGATATTAATAACAATGTATCTCATGGACAAGAGGTCGTGATCCACAATTTAGACGACCTAGATGAAGATCTGGAAGCCACTGATTCCCCTGATGCTGGTCATTGTGTTTGGTATGACATTTGTGGGAAGGATCCAATTACAGACAAAGACCAGAATTGTCCTTATTATGGTCCAGCTAAAACTCTTAATGATACAGATGGTCTGAGAATATTAGAGAAATACTGTCCATCTCTTTATACAGGTTTGTTTCTACTTTAAGAATTTGTAAAGAGGTTTATCAGGGACGCAGATAGCATCAATTTGCACCATTCCAATTTTCAGGCTGCTGCTTCTGGAAGTCAACCTGATGTCCCCGTATCACCCATAATTTATTATTCCAATTCTTCTATTTCAGGTGAAGAAACAAAGACATGTTGTTCCACTGGACAGCTCAAGGATTTAGAAACCAATATGGCCGTTCCTTTCCAAGTTTTTAGCAGATGTCCTTCTTGTTTCCAGAATTTTGTCAACTTGTACTGTTATTTTACCTGTGATCCACATCACAGTGAATTCGTCCGTGAGTTTTCTGTTAACAAATTAATGTTATCTTCTATTTACACATTTATATTTAAAGATAGCAGGGCTGGGGGTATGGGACTAGGGTGTCAGGTGTGTGGCCAACTGGAGTAGGAGAAGAATTTATTTTGAATTGAGAGTGCACCTCACATCATCACATGATGTAAATGTGGATGATACAAATTTTTGGGGGTGTGAAAGGTCCAAGTGATTGCTCCAGGGGTGTGAAGCCTGAAAAAGGTTGGGAACCAGTGTGCTGAATAATTGGCTTATTTGATGTCTATGGTAAAAGTGGTTTACCAAGAGCCATGTAATGGAAGGCAACAGAATTTTTGCCTCAGGAAAAAGACCCAAGTTTTGAGGACCTGATTTGTTGGGTAATTTACTAAAGTAGATATTTATTTGTAGATGTGAACACCACTAGAGTAGATGTTAAAACCAATAAAACTTTAATAACAGTGGTAGATTATACAGTATCTAATCAATTCGCTTATGGAATGTACAACTCTTGTCGTGATGTAGAAATACCTGCTGCTAATGAAAAAGCTTTAGGTAGGATATCAATTCTTGAATTTTTCACCAGTATTCAGATCACAATATGTGGCTAGTCTAAAAATGACGGAATTTTGTTAGATTTTGATTGGAAATTGAAAGATCTTACCGAGAACCAGAGCTTAAAGCTGAAGACATACAGAGGTCAATTAATTTGTTTGATTTTTGTCTTCTAGAGCTTAAATTTGGCTTATGTGTCACTTATCAAAATTAAAATCCAACATTAAGATCCTCTGTAATCAAAAAAACTCTGTATGATTCCATTAAATTTGCAAAATTGGTCCTTATTAAGTGGAATTTTAAATCACTGGATGTAAATTCTAATAGAATTGATTTAATTGTAGATATATTATGTGGCAAACCAGCGAAAGATTGTAACACGACCAACTGGTTAGATTATATGGGGGACACCATCAATGGTCAGACTCCCTTTAAGATTAATTTTTACGTGGGTAATGATTCTGTCAGATTTCCAGACAACATCACCATATATCCATTATTTAGAAATATAACACCTTGTAGTCAACCATTAACCAATACATCATCACCTTGTAGTTGTCAGGTAGGTTCAATATCCAAACTTTAAGGTTTCCCTCATTGTACACTGCTTGTCTTTGGTCTTGGTTATTTCAATCAGAAGCTGAGAGCAGTATGAGAAACTGCATTTTATTTAAATTTTCACCTTTCTACCGCTTCTTAACTGAAACGAAACTTTTAACTTGATAAGATCTAACTTACTAAGCTGTCAATCAAAATGTCACATGATCTAATTTACTTAATGATGAAGTATCCACTCAATAGAAAAATTTAGCCAATGATAATTGGATGAAAAAAGTGGATTAGATTCCCTAATGAACCGGTCCATGAATTATTCATCATTAAGCACAGTCTGGTGTAATTATAATGTATGTTCTATATTCAGGATTGTAGAACAGCGTGTTCTCCTGTAAAACCACCGCCCTCACCTCCTAGTCCGTGGGAGATATTACATATTGACGGCTATGATTTCATCATGGGAGTTATCTTCCTTACTTTCCTGCTCTTTTTTGGTTCCTACGCTATTTGTTATAACATCATGGTTCAGGACTCTTTAGGTGAGACTCAATTTGTGTACACTCTTGCCTCAATCAGTCATAAAGATGAGTAGATGCAGACATTGAAACGCTTCCATCTGCTCAAAGGGATGGTGCCGTGTGTGCTACAGACTATTCTTGTAAACTTTCCCTTATATCACACTGCATGGCATTGGAAGAAGTTCATAAACATATTCAAGGTTTGCAAGCTTATGAAGCACCATTCATTCGTTCAATCATTCATTCATATATTTGTTCATTCATTCATTTATTCGTTCATTTATTCATTCATTGATATATTGATTGTAGGACTAGACTGTAATGAAGATGATGAAGGAAGTAGCGAGGTTTATCATTATGATTTAAGGAGAGATCAAGATAAGTCTAGTAGATATGACAACATCAAAGAGGAAGATCTGGGATGCATGGAGAAAATAGGTGCCAAAATGGAACAGGTCTTGGAGAAGTCTTTTACAAGGTAAGATATTAGGCGTGAAATCTGACATTGAGCAGACATTTTGAAATGAATGTTTACAATTATTACATTTTCATATTTACTATCTACATTATTGTAATTGTGGCCGCGTGTTCTACAGGCTGTGCACATTAAAGATCCTGGACAGTTGGAAATTGAAAAAGAGCAGGCTAATGTCGCTGTCCTCGCAAAATATCACATCGCGCACTACATGGCGTTGTCTGTCTTCATTAGCCATAAGGTGCAGAAAAGTAGGACGTAAAAATCCATTCAAATGTTTTCATTTATTATTATATGTAATTGTAGATGGGGTGTATTTTGTGCTAGAAGACCAATATTAGTAATAGGACTAGCTATATTGATATCTCTCTTACTATCAGTGGGCATCACCCTGTTTGACGTCACCACCGACCCTGTTGAACTCTGGTCGTCACCCAGCAGTCGTGCCCGGCAAGAAAAAGATTATTTTGATTCTCATTTTGTGTAAGTATTGTTGACTATTACTGGGGGTCTGATGTTATAGAAGATAATCTCCTAGGATATTAAACTTGATTTCATTGGCCCAGTTTTAAGCAGGCTAAAATGATAGAAAACTCTATTTCACAGTGTTTCATTTCATAAATTTAGAGCCATTTATTTCGTTTCATTTCATTTCATTATTTCAATGTTGTATTTCTAGGCCATTTTATCGTACAGAACAGTTGATTATCACAAAAACTGGTAATGATACCTCATTTATACACACAAACCCTCCACCTTATGGTCAAGATGTTGTCTTTAATGGTATCTTTGAATTAGAATTCATGCATCAGGTATTGACACATTGTGGTCTGATTTTTCTAAACTTAACAAGAGTTATTTCCCTTCCTATGTTAAAAATATGAATTGGATAAACCTATGAAATTACTGCTAAGTTTTGGCTGGTTTATGAACTGGTCTCTGTCAATTCAGCTATAAATGGGTAAGCTTATGGCTGATATAGGAAAGATCAATGTCAAGAGGTTTGATCGAGGACCAGCTAGTAGAAAGGATCCTCCTATACCTAACTTGAAAAGATCAAAGCCAGGATGTTTGGCCAGCAGTTAGAAAATGGTTGATGGTATTTTTTCAGTTATTACGTCTACAAGAAGATATAAGTAATCTAACAGCAGTACATAACAACGAAACTGTCACATTAAAAGATATCTGTTTCCAACCCTTGGCGCCAGATTACAATGATTGTACTATCATGAGTTCCTTACAGTATTATCAAAACAGTTTGAAGAAATTAGATGCAGTGATCTGGGATGAGGATCATTTCTATATTTTAGCAGATTATTTAGATCACTTACAGTTCTGTGTTAGGTATGTATTCTTTCCAACCTTTTTTCACCCCTCACACCCCCAGAGTAGTCATTTGAACCCCTCACACCCTCAGAGTAGTCATTTGAACCCCTCACACCCTCAGAGTAGTCATTTAAATCCCTCACACCCTCAGAGTAGTCATTTGAACCCCTCACACCCTCAGAGTAGTCATTTGAACCCCTCACACCCCCAAAGTAGGTCACACCCCGATATCACCCTCCAATCTCATCCCCACCCCCAGTTCCCCAATCTCAAGTCCCCACCCCTAGTCCCCCACAACCCAATGAATGTTAATCTTGTCATAACTGTTTTATTATATGGTTAGACAAATGACACTTAATTAATGTAAGAAAATAATTTTCAGGGCTCCAGCCTCTGTCAATGATACTACAGCGTTCCATTCATCTTGTCTGGGACAATTTGGAGGTCCCGTCTTTCCTTGGATTACGTTCGGTGGATTTGAAGGTTAGTTGAGTTCATTTCACTGAAAGTTTGTATTGCAGAAGAGCATCTTGACAATCTTAAGCTATTCCGAATGTCGTCTCATACCTTGACTGCAATAGCCACCTTTCTTATATCACAGAATGCATTGATTTGATTGGATTGTACACATACAAATATAGCCAATTGTAGCCCTAGACTTATTATGACTTATTGTGTACAGACATTCTGTCGAGGACTCTGATTGGCTGTATTCGCTAACATACAATCCAATCAAATCGTAACCTCTAGTCCTATCTTTAGTGTTATAATATACAAGAACTGCGTGAAAACTAACGACAGTTATTTCACCATTTCAGGAGATGATTATAAAACATCAAAAGCCCACGTCATGACCTTCATTGTCAACAATCACCTTGACGACAATAAAAACGTCAAGGCCCAGGCCTGGGAATCAGAGTTCATTAAGTTTATGAAGAGTTATGATAATCCTAACATGAGCATAGCTTTTAGCTCTGAGGTAAGCTAGTTTATTTATTTATTTATTTATTTATTTATTTATTTATTTATTTATTTATTTGTTTATTTGTTTGTTTGTTTTGCCAGTGTGATGCAATCATTCATTTATTTATTTGTTTATCATTCATTCATTCATTCTAATTCTATTTGCAGAGATCTATCCAGGATGAATTAAATAGAGAGAGCTATTCTGATGTATTAACTATTGTTGTTAGCTATCTGATAATGTTTGGGTATATTACCTTTGCTCTTGGTAAACTAACTAGCTGTTGTTGGATGTGCTATGAACAGCCTCCCTCTAGTACGATGAGATTCTTTGTAAGTATAGTTTATGTTTCACTCTTTGTGTTTTATTGCCCAGACGTCCTTGGCCTTTTATTTATTCATGCCAGCTTAATAAATAAGATCAGGAATTTTTCTCCAAGTGTTCATTAATTCATAAGTTTTGGTAAAGGAGGAGTGCATGTCAGCTTTATACAACAGGAATTTGACTAAATCACCCTTTTATCTATTGTCTCTCTTAATCTCTATATTGTTTCTTGTTGGTATATATTTTGTTATGTTTTATTCTCTTGCCATTACATCTGATAACGACACGTGTATATTGTGTTGAAACGTTATGTGCCTAACCTTATTAAAGTAGTGAATTACATTCCATAATATTGTCTTGTGTTTTGTTATAAATCACCAGTGTTCAATATAATATAGGTTGTCACTCACTGTATATTTCAGATTGATATGAAAGTAACAATGGGTCTAGTTGGAGTATTAATAGTTTTACTGTCAGTATCAAGTTCTCTGGGATTCTTCAGCTTTGTAGGAGAACCTGCTACTCTTATTATCATTGAGGTGGTACCATTCCTCGTCCTGGCAGTCGGTGTGGATAATATTTTCATCCTTGTTCAGACATTCCAGGTTTGTATGGGTTCTGAAGCAGGATTGTTAATTTGGCTGTATTTGCCAGTCATCTCCTATGATTGTATTTGACAACTTGAGAACGGCTTTCAAATTGTTATGAGCTCTCAAGATTGTCTAAGAATATAGCGACTGGATTGGTGAGTTCTGCTTTTAAGAATTCATAGATTCAACCAGACGTGCAATGAAACAGGATTAAACAGTACTCAGAATTTAAGTTGGTGGTGACTAGCGCCACCTGAATATTAGGAAATTCTGGAATGAGCTGTATCTATTGTAAGAGAGAGTTATAGAACTGTAATGTATGTATTATGTATCTAATTGTAGAGAGACAAGCGACGTGCTGGAGAGACGATAGAAGAACAAGTTGGTAGAACAATAGGTAAAGTGGGTCCCAGTATGTTATTGACATCTTTATCTGAATCATTGGCCTTCTTCCTTGGTATGTTTCTTTCCTTATTACCTCCCTTTATCTTATTCTTTGTAATTAAGAGATGTCTGGTTGTCAGAGACTATAACAACAGGACGTTCAACTATCAGATTCCCCAAATTTCAGAGAGAACATAAGCTTGTAAACGAAATTAATCAAAAGTGATATTCCTTATAGTATTTTTGAAGGAATGGCGCGATCTTTGAACAGTTCTGAAGACTATTTTCATATACTCAAGACTAAAATCAACCCCTGAAAATGGTGAACCTGTCCCTAATAAGCCAATTTGTATCGTATTTTCTAGGTGCTCTAACTGATATGCCTGCTGTAAAGATATTCTCTCTATATGCTGCTATGGCGGTGTTGTTTAATTTCCTTCTACAGATTACTTGTCTTATCAGTGTCCTAGCTCTAGACGCTCATCGGGAAGAGGTTAGTGTCTTCATTTATACAGTGCTTGGTTTGTAGGGAGGGGATGAGTTGGCATAGATTGGTGACCTGGGGAATACAGAGTGGGGTTAGAGTCAGAATGTTTTAGGCTATATTCTCTGAAAAAAAGATTGCAGGGTAAACCTAAGAGAAATTTAGGAAATAGTAAGAATTATAGGGGGAAGGGGGTTATTCAATCGATCTAGGATATTGAAAGAGGTAATAATAGAATGAAAAAGATGGAAAACCATTGAAAACCCCTGATCTCAACAGTCTCATGTGCCTGAGGACGACGGGGGAAAGACGTCGAAACATTGTATAAAACTTTAACCAGTGATTGTTGTTCTATAAAGCTGTGTCTATATAGTATATATAATATTGTGATAATTTTCTATACTTTGTTTTGTTTAGGAAGATAGGTTTGACTGTTATTGTTGTAGTAAGACTAGCTACACTGATAAACTACAGGCTGATGGTATACTATTTACATTCATGAAGAACTATTACTCTCATTTTCTAATGAAAGAATGGGTTCGACCAATAGTGGTAGGCTTCTTTTCTTATTTTATATTCAAAATATAGAACCAGTTTTACAAGCTGATAGAGCTGTATTCAGCTATCTGTATACTCATCTAGATAATTACATTACCAGCTGATAAAGCTGTATTCAGCTATCTGTATAGTCATCTAGATAATTACTTTACCAGCTGATAGAGCTCAATTTCAGCTCTATGTATAGTTGTCTAAATAATTACTTTACCAGCTGATAGAGCTTAATTTCAGCTATCCTTAGGTTGTCTTACTTAATATCTACTTTACCAGCTGATAGAGCTCGATTTCACCTATCTGTATAGTTATCTAAATATTTACTTTACCAGCTGATAGAGCTCAATTTCAGCTGTTTGTATATCAATTTAAAAATAACCTTGTGTTAAAGGGATTTAGTTGATGATAATATATTTTGTAGATGGTGGTATTTGTGGGGTATTTTTGTACCAGTGTTGCTATGATACCTAGATTAGAAGTAGGATTGGATCAGAAACTGTCTATGCCAGAGGTGAGTATATTTTCAGTTTCGAACTAAACTGGTCTTGGTTCAGGTATCTTCTCAATGGTCAAGGTATTACGTCTTGATCTTATACCTTGACGCTAACATGGAATGAGGTGAATACAGTCACTTGGAGCATTCAGTTTCATGTGTTATTATTTTTTACAATATTTCTGTTATTTTATGTAAGAACTAATAGTATTGAATATACGTATCTGTTATATTTTTCAGGATTCCTATGTTTTGGATTATTTTGAAAGTTTGAATAAATATTTGTCTGTGGGAGCTCCAGTGTATTTTGTGGTAAAAGACGGACATAATTATGAATCCAAGATGGGACAGGATGCGGTGTGTAGTGGAAACGGGTGTCCAGAAAACTCTCTTAATGGTCAAATATACCAAGCCACCAAGTGGGCTAACATGTACGTATTATACTCCCTTGAAGGCCGTGGTTCGCCATTTTCAGGGGTTGAGACGAGTCTTCATTTAAACACGGATATTTCTGGACACACATTGATTAAAAGATTTAAAGTCTCGAATGTCAACAGTAGGATGTAAACACTATTACTGATTAGCTCAGCTAAAAAATTTCCTTTTCGGAGACCAGGGTACGATTGGTTAAACAGATGGCAAAGATGTCTCTTAAAATGATTTTTCCTTTTTGTTACAGAACTAAAATATCCCACTCCTCCAATGATTGGTTAGACGATTATTTTAATTGGTTGAAACCTGGAGGGCGGCCATCTTGTTGTCGCTATGACAATACAACCGGTGATTTCTGTGAAGCTATAGGTTAGATAACATTATGATTAGAACCTGAAAATACTACAAAATTTTGTCGTAGTTTTCTTAGGTGTATTGAACAGTTGAAGTATTGAATAAAAAAGAATAACAACAAAGGTGTATAACAAAACTATAGAAACACATTATTTTTTTTTTGAATGCAGGCCTTGTTCTCCTGTCAAGAGGACTCCCTCCGCCATTGATTTCCCAGCAGATGTCAATTCAACTGGCCACTATAAGATCAAAGTGTCAATATATTCTAAGGACTTCACTATTTGCAAAAAAAAGGAGTAGAGCTTGAAATATTTGCTGTTTTATTTTACAGACACGAATCCTAACTGTATTGAGTGTAATGTTTCTAAGTTTAAAGACAATCGACCACAAAAACAAGATTTTATGAAGTTTCTACCTTGGTTTTTGAAAGATAATCCAGAAATCAAATGTGCTAAAGGGTTAGTAAGAATTAGAATTCATGCTATAGATACGCTGCTAATATGAAATTTTAATGTACTTGGTGTATGTCAACAGATGGTGCTAGTGGGCAACAAAATGTCAGCAGAATTTCTCTCGATTTTATTGGCAATTACATATATATGACTTAAAAGAAACCTCTTTAAGATATCTGGACACAGTTTTACAAATTTTAACAGAAATAAAGTTCAGTTTTGTGGTTTCTAAATTGCTAGTATCTAGTTTTTATATTTTATATTTCAGTGGTCATGCTGCTTATGGAAATGCTGTGGAGATTAAAAATGATACCAACACTATAGGAGGTGAGGCAATATTTCTGTTTTCAATATTAAAATGGTGATGGGTAGAGGAGAGTTGTATCAAATATTTAAATGTCTTGACGTTATTGATACAAATTTCACCCTTTCTCATGATCCTGTGACTGTGCTTTCATGACATTGTTTTCAATGCAATGTTACAACCTTTCTTCCCTAATGACACGTCCTGTGCATGTGCTTTCGTGACAATGTATTCAATGCAATGTTACAACCTATATGATGATGAAATACCATATATTAATGTCGATATTTCACTGCCATCATTACTCTAACTGGAGAAAGAAACTAGGATGTAAAACTCTGTACATGACATGGTTTATTTTGTGTTTCAGCCACGTATTTTATGACGTACCATTCTATATGTAAGACATCTAAAGATTATATAGATGCTTTAAAATATGCCAGAAAGATAGCAGAAAATATCACCAACTCTTTTCAAAACTCTTCTGAACACTTCCAGGTTTTCCCATATAGGTATGTATTTATCTACTTATGTATCTATGTATTTTTGTACTTATGTATATGTACTTATGTATTTATGTACTTATGTTTATGTATTTATGTACTTATGTATCTATATACATCTACTTGGTATTTTTGGTAGATCAAAACATGTAGGTCCTATGAACATTAAAGAGATTGTTAAGAAGGTTTTCTAGACTTTTTATGTGTATCTGGGAGACAACTTACAATTTGCACCATTCCAATTTTCAATCTGATGTCTGTGGTTCTTGTTATTCTACTATGACGTCACTATCACAAGAGACGTCAGATTGAAAATTCTAATGGTGCAAATTGATACACATAAAAGAGTAAGATAACCTCTTTACAATCTCTGTAACAAATTCCATTAAGAAACCATTTTAACAATTTAATATTGAACTATTTTCAGTGTGTTCTATGTGTTTTATGAACAATACCTAACTATAGTTTATGATACTATATTCAACCTATCAATATGTATAGCATCTATATTTCTGGTGACGTTTATTTTACTGGGATTTGATTTCTATTCGGCTGTTATGGTTGTCATCACTATATGTTTTATATTAGCTGATTTATTAGGCTTGATGTATATGTGGGACATCTCTCTTAATGCTGTCGCTCTGGTTAACTTAGTTATGGTAAGCCATTATGTTTATTATTTTCTAAATGCTTATCTGTAAATGAAATGAATGGAGTTTTACATCCTACTGTTCTGCAACTTATGAGCTAATGCAGCTTGCAATGAGGGACATTTTGCCAGGACAGTGGCATTAGCCTACTCTTTTTTGATTTCCAACTGTTGAGAGATCTTTAACTTGCACAGTCTGAAGCCTCAGTTTATTGTCTGATCCAAACGACAAGATACTTTTTCTATGTCAGCCCCTGATGTGGAAAAATCCTTAATTGCCTAATTAGTTCATCAATTTATGTATTTAATAATATATTTGACAGGCTGTAGGAATATCGGTGGAGTTCTGTTCACATATAACACGAGCGTTCACAGTCAGCACCATGACAACTCGTAAACTACGTGCTAAAGACTCTCTGGCTCATATGGGCAGCTCAGTAAGTTTCTCAGCTTTTATCTTTCATCTTCTAGTAAAGTTACCATCTGTAGACTATCAAATAGTATAGAAAATACTTAATATTGATATACTGTATAATTACAAATTTATTGCACACTATCCTTAACCTATTGATATCTTGCTGTTAGTGTTCATTCATTCATTCAATACTTCATTCATTCATTCAATACTTCATTCATTCATTCAATACTTCATTCATTCATTCAATACTTCATTCAATCATTCATTCAATACTTCATTCATTCATTCATTCAATACTTCATTCATTCATTCAATACTTCATTCATTCATTCAATACTTCATTCAATACTTCATTCATTTATTCATTTCTTCTGTCTATTTACAGGTATTATCTGGAATTACTTTAACCAAATTGGTAGGAATAATCGTGCTGGCCTTTTCCAAATCCCAGTTGTTCCAAGTATTTTATTTCCGAATGTATTTAGGTATTGTGATCTTCGGAGCTGCTCATGGTCTAATGTTTTTACCCGTATTACTCAGCTACGTGGGTAAGTCACTTTAATATCTGTTTAAAATCATCTACATCTGATGAATTGATAATCAGGGAAGATCAATTGCCAAAAGGTTTGGCCAAGAACCAGCTGGTAGAAAGGATCCTTGTAAACATAAGGGATGTCGTCTAACGCAATACATCTTCACAATATCAAGCTATTACGAACTTCACCTTATACCTTGACTGCAATAGCCACCTTTCTTGTATCACAAAAATTGCCTCTATATCACTTGGCAAATACAGCCAATCAGAGCTCTCCACAGAAAGACTGTAAACATTATGGTTTATTGTATACAGACTTTCTGTCACTTCCTATGATTGGCTGTATTTGCCAAGCAATATAGAGGCAATTTTTGTGAATTTCTTACATTTTCATGTCTCAGATAGAATAATTAATGTAATAAAATGATATATTCTAGGTCCACCAGTCAATAAAGCTAAGATATTGAAGAAGAGAGAGAATGATAGCACTATTAATAATCAACATACAACTAACTCTACCACTAACAGTCAAACTAATTTAGTTACAGAACACACTAACTTCCCTGATTATAACTGTAGATTATAGATACACTCACTGACTGACTGACTGACCAAATGAATGAATGAATGAATGAATGAATGACCAGATGGATGAATGAATGAATAGAATTATGAAAATATTTAGTGTTTATCCATATTTCGAATGAATGAATGAATGAATGAATGAAGATGAAAATATTTAGTAAATAAAGAAATGAATGAATGAATCTGGCGTTAGATTGATACAGAATAGTTAAAAAACAAAAAAGGGTACAGTACAGTAGAGGCAAACGTTTAATATTCAATTATGTTAGTCAGGGATCATGGGCATGCCTCAATGTAAATATCGAACTCATGAATATGCAAATAGGGGGGTATCTTTAGGTCAATGTCTGTTGAAATGAATATTCAATAAAGGGGCATATACATATATTCATATTTCAATATATATATATATATATATATATATATATGATTAATGATCATGAATATGCAAAAAGGGGCGTATCTTGAAACACCCTGAGATTTTATTGGTAGGGAAAATAAGCCATTTGTTTTGTTAATAGTTTGTTATTGTATATATTTTTCTACTGTTATGCTACTATTTGTTGGTAAACGGAATCTTACTGCTTATATTTTAATGAACTGTCATATTGGCTTCAAAAATACTGATAGTCTTAGAATTTCATTGCTTCCATAAACATGTTATATAAAACACTTCCCTCCGAGAAATTTCAACACGAACTTTCAGTCAAAAGTCAAAATATAAGACTAACAGTATTATTTTGAAGCCGATATACTAATTCAGATGAAAATAATCAGTAAAATACTGATGATGTGGGAAGACAGTATGTATATTTGTTTGTTATTGAAATCCTCGCTATTGGCAGTGCTTTAAATACCTTTTACCTATTTGATGTAATGTACATGTTATCTATCATTATTAATATATAAAACCTACTGCTCAGTTTCTAATAAACCTCTCGATATTAACTTGTCTTATAGGTGAACATGGTCGACCTTAATATGGGCATTAGCTGACGTTTGAGTTACCATCTGTTAATGGTAAAAAGAGATAAGCACAATGTTTAGTACACATGACTTTGGTTTATCATCCAAGCCCCCAAGCAAGCATTGTTACCCTGCTTTCAGTCTCCCAAAAGAAAGAGTTGAAAGGTTTTATTTGAAACCAATTAACAAACAAATGAGTTTTTCACATCACATGATAAAATACAACAAATATATCAGCCAATGAAAAATCAAGAGAACACAATTTTAACCAATCAGATGTACCAAAATACACAATAATGATATCTTATACAAAATGATTGCGTTGTTCCTGATACATGAGGAGGGTTTTCAACAGATTTGAGCACTTTAATGCATAGTTTAGGGAAAATTACTTCAAATTGATAAAAAATATGGGAAAATTTCTATGCGTAGTAAGGAAGGGCTTATAAAAGACTGTATATTTTGGCTGGGATGGCTTTGAATTTGTTCAGTTACTAATAGTTTCGCTTCACAGGACTCAAAGAGATGCAGAGTTGACAACCCCAATTGCAGAAAGGTTTTGTGGGTAAGTTGAGTTTAGGGGTGGCTTGGAAATATTTAAAAGTAAACTAGACTAAAAGATAAACACAAAAATATATATCTTGATCAATCAAACACGACCATTTCATACATACTCTCAATTATACCAATCAAACAGGCCCATCAAACATTCTTCATTCAGACACAATCACCCAGTCTTAAATAACCGCTACAGTTCTATCTATAATTCATCCTTGTCATCCAATTCTACATCACTCAGATCTATGTCCTCTTCCACTTCCAACTGAAAAGAAATTGAAATTACATCTTTACTTTCACGCCTTCTTGTCCAAAACTTTTTAGAAAATGAAACCTTCAGACGTTGGATTGACTCTCGAAAGCACTTGCTATGGCATTAAAATTTGCGTAGATTCAATTAAACTTGAAACCAATTAAACACCATGGCCATATAGCTAAATAATTTGAGGAATTAGCACGATTAAAGTTGAAATAAAGCCTGAGTTTTTGCCCTTGATAGTTTAAAATATGTAGTAATGTTCAACAAGGAAGACAATTCACTTACCACTCCGTCTTTTCCATCCCATTTTTCAGTTTTAACAACTTTTGGTAGTTCAGCACTCTTCAGAGGAGCAGACGCACCTTTACCAAATGACAGATCTCTGAAATTAACAGGTTAGAACATAACTTTATATTTCTAAGAGATTACTAATTACTGATAAACTTTAATGCCCTTATGAAGGCAGATTAAAGCCACGAACAGCTAGTAATATATAAGTTATTGCACTTACCTTAAAAATTCATTGATTCCATTTTCACTGAAGGCACCTTTTAATAAAGAATATTTTTTCTTTCTGATATTAACTGCTGCCATAGCCTGGAGAAAAGGTAATTAAAATATTACATATGGTATAGTTTTGATAGAAATATAAAGTTTGGCCATTTTGAAAAGGGGTACAGATAAAATGTTTGTTTTGAAAAGTGGTACAGACAAAAGATTAAGTTGTTAAGTTATAAGGTTGTTTGCCTTCCATCAAAGCATGAATGTCCAGAAATGGGATAAAATATCTGACTTACTGGATAGCCAAATCCTCCAATACCTAACCCTTCTTCTAATTCCATCTGAGCACCGGCTTCTGCCCAAATCCATCTAAAAATAGACACAAAATAATCAGTGATTGGAGCTCATCTCTTGCTGACATGTTTCAGGTACACAATCCTCATCAGGACAGCTAGTTTTAGAAATTGGGCTAACTAACATGTTTCAGATACACAATCCTCATCAGGAAAGCCATATTTAAGGCATCGAGCTATTACCTTGACATCCTTAAACACTTTTCAACTTCACAATGTCAAGATATAACAAACTCTGGTTAATACCTTGACTTCATTAGGCACTTTTCTTGTTTGAGAGTGTGGACAATATAAAAAAAATTAAGCTCTTACCCCCACTGATGTTTTTTGAATTTTTCTCCCATAGCTTTTAAAGTTTTTACGTAGGCGTTTCTACATTTTGATTGACAGTCGAGTATATGAGGTAGAATTGATACTACACAGAGTTGTTTCCCTTCACAGTTCTCTGTTACAGTGGACTCGGATACGATCTGAAAGTAAAATTAAATGGAATTTTACACCCAAAACTGGATAATGTGATGCAATATGCAGACCACTTTTAAACGATTCAACAATTCTTTAATATTGGAAACAAAAAATTGCGGTCCTGTTTGGTCATCAAGTTTGAGTACGTCTGTGTCTAAATCAACTTCTACGAGAAAGAGACAAACCTGGACAACTTCTGGTGGAGGTAAATTAGCGGCTGCCTTTTCATTGGCCCAGCTGACAATATCTGAGGATGTTCGGCCACCATCATATTCTTCAGCATCTCCATTACTTCCAGCGGGGAAAAACTTTATAGTTGGGAATCCTTTTACCTAAAATAAAGTGGATGAGTTCTTTAGACATATTCTAAATTTGATAATGTATATTCTAAAGCTCTGAGAGATCTCCTGTACATACAGTTGATTTTTCCGCCAGCTCTCTGAAGCTTTAAACATTTTTTAGAATAAATGTCCACATAACAAAATCTTAATGCCCTTTTTCCAACAGCCTTTAAAAATAACCCACCTGGTATCTGCCTGCCATGACAGTATGAACTGTAGCATCTAAAGCTCCTAATTTGACTTTTCCTTTCAATTCTGAGGCTGCCGAGGCCCAGTGAGGTTCTAGGTTTTTACAATGACCACACCATGGAGCATAGAATTCAACCATCCATGGATCTTTGCCCTTTATAACCAACTCTTCAAAATTAGAGTCTGTTAAGGTAACGACGTCTTTTGGATCTCCTGCCTGAAATGTAAATTATGGCTTATTGTTTACAGTGTTTATGACGAGGTTTCTCATTGGCTGTATTCGCTAGTGTACTATCCAATCAAATCGCTGCATTTAAAAACTTCTGTGATACATAAAAGGTGGCTATTGCAATCAAGGTATAAGTCGGAGTTCTTAATAGCCTGAAATTGTGAAAATGCGTCTGCCCATAAAAATATAAAGAGTTGTCTACCTTCTTGCCTCCACCACTCTTCTTTCCTCCTCCACTACCACCACTCAATCTAGAGCTCACCATGGATTTCAACGTGGACATGGCAGAATCTACAATACCCTGGGCATTTCTTGCTCCTGAAATCATAATCCATACACAGACAATTAGCATCAAATTAAATAGACATTCCTTTGGAAAGACATCCCAACTATTGGGCTTTCTGTCACAACACAAGACCTAGCTGATAGTGGGGAAAGATCAATGTTGATCAAAGATGTTGACCATGGACAAGCTGGTAGATCATCTCCACTCAACTGAAATCTGTGATTGTGCCAACACGATTTGCCTTCTAGTTGCCCATGATTTGTTTCCATGGCTGAGAACCCATATGTAATGGATGATTCAGACTATAATGAAAGTTATGCCTACCATTATAATCTGAGGGACTGTTTTTATTAGCACCAAAGATCTTGATGGTTGGGAAACCTCGGACACCAAATTGACCGCCCAGACTCTTGTGTTCATCAGCATCTACTGCTCCAATCTTCACTACTCCCTATAGCAATAGATATAAGTTTAATGTTGAGAAAGCAACCTAATTTGTTGTCTCTTGTCCAATAGGCTACTTGATAATATCTTTTATCATTATGTGCTTGACGACGACAGGGGCAGCATCTCAAAATATTGCATAAAACTTTAACCAGTGATTGTTCCATAAAGTGTCTATATATCGTACAATGCCTTAAAACAAAGTCCTAATTGTTGATTCCTACCTTAAGAGCAGTGGCTGCTTTCTTCCATTCTGGAGCTAAACTTTTACAATGTCCACACCTGCAACATTCCAACAAATATTCTTATAATTTCTAACACGGCCAATTGAAGGTCTATTCTTGTGTTCAAGATTGAGATACAAGTGGATCTGACGTTTCTTACAATCAGTTTTGTCAAAAGTTTAGTATTTCTCCACACTCAGGAAAGATAAATTTTAAGTGGAACTCATTGCAGAGTTATATAACTTACCATGGTGCATAGAATTCAACCAACCACAGTTCATCTCCATTGATAACTTTCTGATTGAAATTACTCGGTGTAAGTTCTACAACATCATCACTTTTACTGTATAACGAGGCGACAGACGTCACTAGCACTGCCACAATAGACACACAAACTGTCACTTGGACACCTGAAATAATAAAATAGGTGCTGTTAGTTGCTTATGATACTTGTTCCTAAGTTGAACATCCACTGCTATTTTACATACACTCCACGAAGATGCATTAAGGCCGCTTAAAGGTGCATCCAGAAATTTTGTCTCCTAAGATACTGATGAACTGTTATTAGTTGATTTTCTTTCTTTCCTGAGGCTGAGACATTTTTAGAATTTGAAACTGATGCTGATGCATCCTGATGCCCTACTGATGACTGACACTGGAAGTGAGTTGATGTTGATACAGCACAGTGACAATGGACATGATCAATGATCACTAAGAAAAGAGCAAATCTAAGCTACCAATATTTCTATTTGTAAATAATAAAATGTCTACATACCTATCATCATGATAAGCTACAATTCAGATCGAACTTTTTCTGTGATTGTTCGTAACGATCAAATGTGTTATAAATGTTTTGGGTTGTAAACGTGTGAACTGTAGAAAATAGTAAGGAGGTTCCCCTACATGTGGCTTTATTTCATTGGTTAACTCAAGAATTACGTGTCAGTATTTTGGAGAAAGTACCAAAGGGACTGAACTCGTCTCACCATTCCGGCGAGTTGAAATAGAGTTATTTGCCCTTGATTCCTACTCGCGCCACACGGTTGGTGTAAAATGCCTTTATTTGACAAAAATTCAAGAATGGGACCTTTGCCTTATATGAATAAATTGCTCCACAATTTTAACTAATTTTTAACGATGCCTTTCTATGAAATTTGTTATTTTTGGCTCAATGAAGACCTATTAAGAGTATTATGATAATTTTCAAATTTGTCGTAAGGCCATTTACACTCACCTGAAAAGAAAAAGAAAATGGCCACCAAATTCACGTCTGCTGATGGCAACACAGATGCTTTAGGAGATAGACTCTAAAAGAGAAATGAAAACCAGATTTCTGATCTGTTAGATACATGATGACACAGTCCATTGTCGTCCAAGGTCGGTTGATCGCGCTGTTACTCGGTCAATGACGCATTTTGCACTATTTGCCTTCTGTCAGTCAGTGCAGGAAGAGGTTAACTTATTATTCTACTAAAAAAGAAAATTTCATCTACTTGCCTAACAGCCACTAGTAACATGTTAAACAGAGCCTGAAACCGTTGTTAGTAAGCCTACAACCTGTCATGAATGCAAATGAGACTGTATAATGTTACCACCCCACCCCCACCAAATCAATAATAGCAATATCATTCATAAAATAAGCAGGGTTTGATTCTTGGTTTAAATATTCCCCATATATTTCAGTTGGACAGTGTGGAAATCAGATTGGTTGTCAGTTCTGGGATCTTGCTTTAAAAGAACATGCTTCAGTGAATAAGGTGAGATAACAGGTAAAATTCGGAGAATGGGGCAGGGGGGAGGAGGGAATAATTTGTCTTTCATAGATTGAAAAGTTATGGTGATCTGTGAATGTTAAGATACTTGCTCTCTTAATTTTTTTCGAGGTCTGAAATGAAAGCAGTAGAGGCTTTAAGGCAGTTTTCTAAACTTTTAAATGTATCTGGGACACTAATAGCATCGATTTGCACCATTCCAAATTTCAGTCAGACATCTGTGGCTCTTGTAATTCCACTAAGTGTTTAATTTACTTTCAGCAAGGTATATATGATGAAGCTTTATGTAGTTTCTTCAGGAACGTTGACAGTCGCTATGATGACCCTGTTAATATTTCCCTGTCTAATGGGAAGGGAAGAATCAGAGCTCTTAAAGCCAGGGTAAGTAGGCATTTCGTTATAGACTTTGTATGTACATCATCAGGCCAGCTAATTGAAATTCAAATCTCCAGAATTTGTGAAAAAAAGAATAACAAATTCCATTGCATGTCATTTAGCCAAAAAGGAGTAAGAAATTTGGGTGTAAAACTCTATTTCATTTTAAATTGAAGGCTGTTTTAGTTGATATGGAGGAAGGAGTAGTCAGTGAAATTATGAAAGGGCCATTACGAGATGTATTTGACTGTAAACAACTCATCACTGATGTCTCTGGCTGTGGAAACAACTGGTAAGTGTGCTATCATCTTCACTATCTCAAGCTAATACGAACTTCATCATATACCTTGACTATAGTAGTAACTTCTCTTGTATCATGGAATGCTGCAATTTGATTGGATTGTATGCCAGCGAATATACAGATGTGATATCAAAAAAGGGCAGGGCCTATACCAATTGAGTATTTCAATTATTTTTATTTCAGGGCAGTAGGAAACAAGATGTACGGAGGGCAATATGGAGAGATGATATCAGAGACGATAAGACGTGCTGCTGAACATTGTGATTGTCTACAATGTTTCTTTATATTACATTCCATGGGAGGAGGTAACTCTCAATTCCTCTACATCATATTCCCAACCCCCACCCTGCGCTTAAACCAGAAACCAAAGAGGACTCCCATTAGCCTGTTTTAAAGCTGCTCAATGCCCCACTCTCTGACATAAATGGGGCTTTATTGTAACTTATCAAATTGTTAAATGTTAATTAGAGCACTGCAGTGCCACAGTGAACTAGGGAATGGTTAATTAAATGCTCGCTTTGTGAGAAATCTGTAGATTTTGGCATCTCTTAGGAAATATCAACAAGCTTCTATAAGTGGGGAATGTCACCTTGTTAAGGTCATAATAAACTTTGGGTATTTAGTCACCAAGGTTACAATATAAACAAAAGAATGTCTATACCTTTGACCTATTGTTTCTAAATTTAGATTCAAATGAGTCACATATCAGCAAACTATTTTAGGTTTCATGTCTCAAGTTAGAAATGATTTAAGTTGGCAGATTTATCAACTATATTGAAGTATTTATGTCTGAGTTTGAAATGAAAACTTCCGAATCAATCAAACCCACGGCAACAGATAAACAGAAGATCCAGTTTTACATCTTATTGATATGAAACTATCTTATAAAAGTTTTGAGAAAAAGGAGACACATAATGAAATAAAACAATTTACATTTATTAAGAAATAAAATTCAGGGACAATCTGATAAAGAAAAATTTAAGGCACACATCATATGTAATAAATAAAAAATCTAATCTGGGACAATTTTTAGTGCATTATAAAGTTAAATCACATATACAGGGAACCCTCTTGGTAAATCTTCTTCCGGTACAATACAGGCTGTACCCTACATAGGAACCTTTCGCCCCCTTGACCTTCAGCTGACATTTTCCATTCTTACTGTGATCCCTGCATATAACAAGTAATACCAGTAATCTAATCAAACATTATCACAGTAAAAAAAGCACTCAGGAAGTTTATGTTTATGTAAATCACTTTTGTACACAATGCGAGTGCGATATATATATATTCTAAACACTTAAAACGCTTCAATGTCTCATATTTAGATTGCAGGAGGGTGTCATTGTGTTTTACACGCTTCTGGATGATCTGAACCTGTCATCCCGTTCGAACGAGGCACATACACTCTGACTTCAGCAAATTGAGGTCCATTTAATAAGACAACGTACTGGTTATTTTTAGTAACGGCTACACTCACTGGTTTCACGCCATTTTGAATTTCAAAAGTGTCCTTGACAACCGTTGCAAGGTATCGTCCCTTCGGTGAAAACACTTCCACACGATAATTTTTACTATCGGCTACCACAATATTGTCTTTGTTGTCAGTGGCGACTCCTAGCGGGGTGTTAAAATACCCATGATTCTCTCCTTCACCTCCAAACCGAACTTTGAATTTCCCCGCTGAAGAGAAAACTTGGACATTATGATTTACACTATCTGAGACAATGACGTGTGATTTACTGTCGCTGGTCACATGACGTGGGCACAAAAAACGTTCATCACCTGATCCTTTTCGACCAATCATAGTCCCAGAAAACGTGTATTGGGAATTGAACATATAAACACCAAACTTTTCCAACCCAGTGACAGCAATTTGACCATTTCGTAAACAGCAGATTCCATTAGGAGTTTCATATCTGTAATGTTGTCCGATTTCAGACAACAATTTTCCGTTCATGTCATACAGATGCATAATGGCCGACCCACTGCCGGTTACGCTGACCAGTATGTCATTTTTAGTCGTCACTGTCACATCTTTAATGGTGCATTTACAGGCAAACTTGGTTCGTAACTGTCCTGAACTGTGGAAGATCAAAATTCTGTTGCCGCCTTCATCTGCTATCACAAATTCTCCATTTTGAGAAATGGCTAATCCAATTGGCTTGAAGAAATCAACTAATCCTGGTCCGAACTTTCCAAATCTGTGGACCAAGCCATTACTGCAGGCTAGTACTTGATGCTGGTTCTGCTGTGATGTGACATCATCATCTACCTGTACTCTTGCTACACCTGTCAAATCTGGGTACAATGGCGTCGTTTTGGTGTTTTTAGTGCTGACTAAAAATCCCACTGGCTCGCTGTTTCTTTGGAGTGCAGACGGGTCAGACTTGTTCCTAGGTCTTGGGGGAATCTTTGGAGGTTTTCTGGCATCTTCTACAGTGTCCAACAAACTCGTTACTAAATGATTATCGGGAAAATAACCCACACCTCCGACAGGTATGTCAACATACGCTCGACAAATTGGACATGGAAATCTCCCCTCTCCTTCATAATTCCGACCAACCACAAAATCTTGAAGACATCCTTGACAAAATGTATGAAGGCAAGGCAAAGCTTTCGGCTTGTCAAAATTACACATACACACCGTACAAGTTAAATGGTCTTCCTCTATTTTAGAGCGCAAAGTCAACGTGGAAGCCATTTTTGAATTCTTGTTATCATTCATCACGGGATTCCCTCTGCTGTTCTCGCCACTGAATCACTCCCCGGTAGATTACGATAAAAATTCCAAATGCGTAATTTTCTAATCACATGTAGATGATTTCATTTAGCTTGAGTAACAGTTTTCTGTGTTTTTCACGTTTCTAAAAGCTAAATATGTCTTTGACTCATTAAAATAGAAACCAAATTTGAACTTTAACCTCTCGATTCATTAGGTCTTCACATAAACACAGCCATGATGTTATCGGCGCGCGCAGGCTATTATAAGTAACAAGGGTGTTTCCCCAGGTGTTTTAGGTGTTTTCCCAAGATTTCCGGTGTTACGTTGCCTGGTAACGATCACCTCATTGAATGAATGAATGAATGAAATAAAGGAATAAATTCATTCATTGATAAATATATCAAATGAAAAAACAATAAAATTAGATAACCCTTAAACAAAAATAACTGAACGTTTTGAACTGAATACAGGCTGATGCCATTTCTAATTTCCATCATTGTCCACTGCATGGCATTGTTAGTCTTCTTAAACCTGTTAGGTTGATAGAGTTTGAAGGCACTGTCCGTGGCATCACAATTTGCCTACCTTGAGAGGGAATCGGGAATCGCTTCCATGGAAAGTAATCTGCTAGCAGATGACAATCCAACTTGCTGCCAATTGAGCTATATTCCACTTGTAGATAAGTAGGGTGTAAAACTCCATTCATTTCATATGATCTCAGCCAAACTAACAATTTCAGAGACTATAGGATCATCATGTTTCAAGACAGAAACTTAACATAGACCGGAACTTCTTGATTTTCTTGTTAAATGTGAACCCTGTCAAAATGTAAGACTCTAATTTATTTTGTCTGTATTTTAGGTACAGGATCTGGTGTAGGAACATTCGTTTTAAATCTCCTGGCTGATGAATACCCTGATGTTTATAGGTGAGTTACCTACCTTGATTTGGCTCTTCATTCTCATTGTAAGGAGCTGGGGTGGCTTAGTGAGTTGGACGCTTCCTCGCTAACCTTGCGGTCCGGTTTTCAAATCCTGACATAGCTCCAACCTTTTGAGTTTTTCTCTCAGGTTTCCCCCTGTCACAGACTCTCACTGTTGCTTGTTGAAGCCCAATCAGAAGGAGAAAAGTATCATGTAAAACTGCATTTGATGTAATTCTATTCTAGGTTTGTGACTGCAGTGTATCCGTCTGGTGAAGATGACGTGGTTACCTCCCCTTATAACAGTGTATTAGCTATGAGGGAACTAACAGAGCATGCTGATTGTGTTCTTCCTGTTGAAAATCAGGTAATGCTACTCCCTTCTCCGTACAATTTCCTTTGACATGTTAATTAAGGAAGCTGTTAAAGTCATGACCTGGAATTGACTTTTTCATTTGTTATAGGCATTGGTAGATATAGTGAACAAGATTTCTCAGGCTATACCGTCAGGCAAGACAGGTAAAAGAGTGTACAGTACCAGTAATATTAAAACAGACAGTACCCTGACAGCAATAGACAATACAACCTGCCGAGATGAGAAACCATTCGATGCTATGAATAACATTGTGGCTAATTTATTGTTGAATATGACGAGGTTTGTTTCAATATGTTAAATATACTTTCACTCAAAAAATTTGAATAAATTGGCTGGAATGTTGGACATGATTTTGTTTTCGGGGAAGCAAGGTAGCAAAAGTGAGATTTTCACACAATACTGTTTAATAATAAAATATAATTGATGGAGAAATAAATCCTGTTCTATTTTCAGCTCAGCTCGTTTCGAAGGTTCATTAAATGTCGATTTAAATGAGATCACGATGAATCTAGTGCCGTATCCACGGTTACACTATTTGGTGACCAGTCAGAGCCCACTATATGTATTTAAAGATGTTCATCTTCCACCAAGAAGGTAGGATTGTTTTAAAAGGAATAGTATTAAGTAATGTTCACTAAGTATTGTTTACTAAGTATTGTTAATATGTTAGTAAAGTATTGTTTGTATTACTAAGTATTGTTTACTAAGTTAGTAAAGTATTGTTTGTATTACTAAGTAAATTGTTTTGTATTTGAAGGTTGGATCAGATGTTTACTGATGCTTTCTCTAAAGATCACCAGCTGATAAAAGCTGATCCTAAACACAGCCTGTATCTAGCCTGTTCATTGATGGTCAGAGGGAATGTGGAGATGTCTGATATAAGACGTAATATTGATAGGTAAGATCATTGGAATACTTGACGTTATCCTGCAACTGTGTCTGTCAACTCTGTATCCCTTTTAGAGAGTCCACATTGACATAAATGTTTATTTAGAACCTTCTTCTGTGGAGTACATGTATAAATACGAGGAAATAAATAACCACTTTTTTTATTGATTGATTGGTTGGTTGGTTCATTCATTCATTCATTCCTTCATTCATTTTTTATTCACAGATTGAAACCAAATTTGAAATTTATAAGATGGAATGAAGATGGATGGAAGACCGGTCTATGTAATATACCACCAGTAGGACAGCCATATTCTCTACTTACCATGTCTAATAACACCTGTATACGTGATAGTTTCACCAGTCTTAAAGATAGATTTGTTAAACTCTATAAACGCAAGGTAAATATCAGCTTATATTGTCTTTGTCAGTGGGAAACATTTGCTTGAAGTTATGATGTGTAAGTGCTCGGAAGATATTGAATGCTTCTTTGCAACTGGTTGTGACAACTCAGCTTTTTTGAGAGAGTCCACATAGCCATAACTTTTCTAGAACACCTAATTCTACTCTGCAACTTATTGTGGCAACTCCACATATCTGATATTGTTTATTGGGTGCATTTATACTGCTCATTTTTTCCATCACACTCTATTCGACCCAGCTGAAAATGGGTAGAGATAATCCGAGAAAGCTCAATGTCAAGAGGTTTGTCCAAGGACCAGCTGGTAGAAAGGGGATCCTCATGAATCTAAGTTGTTATCCTTGTAAAATATAGTTGTCTCTTTCTTTCTTAGGCTCATATACATCATTATACCAGTGTAGATGGAATGGAGATGGGTGATTTTTCCAGCAGTTTAGAATCTCTGAATTCTTTGATAACAGATTATGATCAACTGGACAAATCTCAGGGTGTAGAAACACTGGTATCAAGGCTACAAGTGGCTTCCTGAAGACCATATGAAAGCTGAATTTCTCTTATCGTAACACCTGATGGTACTTGTCACTAATATACAATTATTGTTCCCGATTTTGTCATGCTATGAACAAGATTTGTGGTTACTGGAATTGTCATGGTTGTACAGATTTGAATTAGATACTTTTATGATGTTTTGAGGCTCTGTGGCTTAGTCGGTTAGAGCATTAATTCTTCAAATGATGTCATTATAGTGGTTACATCAAACAAATGATGATCATGGGTTCTAATCTTGGAAGTCTGATGCTTTGAATAAGTTATCTCCACTCATAATTCCATGATCTAACTTGTAAATAAATCTTTAAGTTGTTATCCTTGTTTCTTCCCGTCTTATTTTGTATCCTGTTTTGCTTGCATGAAATTGAATGTTCCTCTGATTTGTCAAATGTTCACCCTCTTGTCAGGAGGTCTGGGGTTCCATCCTTGAATTATTTGCACGCGGAACTTGGATTTGTCATTCCTGAGTGATGAAATTTACTTTAGAAAAATGATTTATGACTACAGTGAATACAGTGAGTATTTTGATTAATGAATGTGAAATATGGGAGATAACTCCGTGATGACTGAATAAAGTTAGACCACACATACTTTAATATTAGGAGAATACATTTAAGCTAACGATCAAGGTTTTCTTTATCTCACAAAATAGATTCAGTAACATTTAAAACTCTATTTCATTTCATTTTCTTGCAGATTCTTGGAAGCTGGTAAATCTTTGTGACATAGAGGTGATGCCTATAATCTAAACAGGGTCATTGAAGTGCCTTGAATGATGAATAAAAGTTAGAAAATCATCTTTTCTTTCTGCACTTGGTAAGCATCCTTTTATTTTACGCTTCGTTTTTGTTTTGAAGTGGGGAGTCAGTCTTGTTATAAAGAATACTCTCCTATAGAAGCACTGGCCAAGATCACAAGAAAGGTATTATCAAGTTTTCGATACCAGTATATCACCGAACCTGAACAAGTTTGCTTTAAGCTGATTGTTTGGTATAAAAACAGTTTATTTGGGTAAAATTCAGAATGATGTTATAAAAAAGATGTATAAGCTTGCTTAGATAAATAATTTATTTTATTTTACATTTTATTTTACATCAATAACTTTTCTTCCTGATAAAACACGATAATATTCATTCATTCATTCATTCATTCATTCATTCATTCATTCATTCATTCATTCATTCATTTATTTGTTCATTCATTTATTTGTTCATTAATCATTTTTGTGATCAATTCAGTGAGTAATTAATTTGTTTATTCATTCATTCTTTTCATTCATTCTCTCATTCCTTCATTTATTCATTCATTCATTCTTTCTTTCTTTCATAATTATAAGCATGAATACAAGAACCCAGATTGGGATACTGAGTTTATTATTCCAGTCATGCACAGTGACTCCATGTGTTCAAGACGGGTGACCACTCCATGCTGCATTAACAACACCTTCTTTTGAAGTTCTTCTGTTAATGTTTGTAGCGAGGTACTGGATGTGCAAGAACATCACCTGTCATCATCCAGTCCTAAAATTTTCTGGGTGTCTCAAGCCCATAAAATGTTCACATTAAAAGCTGAATCTCACATTCACAATAGATTAAGAACACTTCTCTGATGCTCCATGAGTTATTCCCCCTTTTTTATGGAGAAATTCCTTGGTTCACAAAATCACAAGCACCTTGTTATTAAATGCATTCTTGAAGTTCCCATTGAATTATCAAGGAACTTAAGGATTGTCCGTTATTTCACATGCTCGAAAATCAAGGATGTTCCTCGAGTTCACATTCAAATTTTCAACTATTCAAAGTCCCATTCGCTAACATGTAGAAAATCTACGGCTATGAAGGTTCATTCGTGTCACTCCAAGATGTTTTAAAGGATTGTCCCCTGTTTTATACGCTGGAAGATCAAGAACATCAGGAAGATCGTCCAGTTCTTGAAGTTCACATTGAATGTCCTCTAACATCTCCTCGTGTTCCTCACAACTTTTGGTCAGTTTGAGTTGTTGTATGTCCTGTTTCAGGGATAAAAACTGTCTGGCTAATTCCTGATCCTGAACTCTCATTTCATGCTGGAAAAGACAACAATATTTTGGATTTAAAAAATGACTTGGAAAGGCTGGTCTAGGGAGCATTAACAGGCAATTTGTGCTTTACATGTGCATGTTTAAGCTGTTAGTGGGTACGGATTATCCGGGAAAGATCAATGCCATGAGGTTTGGCCAAGTACCAGCTGGTAGAGAGTTTTCTCATGTACCTAAGTTGTTATCCTTGTAAAATCATTACCAAGAGGTTTGGCCAAGGAATAGTTGGTAGAAAGGATCCTTGTGAACCCAAGTTGCTATCTTTGTAAAATCATTATCAAGAAGTTTGGCCAAGTATCAGCTGTTAGATCCTTGTGAACGAACCTAATCGGTTGTTTCTTTTTTTTAATAGAAAATTATGATCCCTACCAATTCCTTTCTCAGCCAATCTAAGGCATCGTCTATTCTCTGTTTCCGTTCTGATGTTAACTTGTTGTCAGAACCGTCACGAGACAGGATTGGTTTACTGGCACGGAATAGTTTTGGAGATCTGTCTATGAACTGTGATTTCCACACAGTATAACTCTGACGTCTGGTGCTCAGTTTTAATCTTGTTGTCATCTGAAACCATAGCAACCAAATATTGAGAATTCTGTTCATTTGTCAAAGAAATAAGATAAAAAGATTATGGGTAGAACACAAAGACAGAAATTTAGGGGTGGGGGGATTAAAATGGAAGTACAAAGGGGAACATTTGAAAAATGAATCAGAATTGCTAAGAAAATATGGTGCCCTGACCTGTTTAAGAAGTTGTAAATCTGAATCTTTCAGAAGATCATCATCCTGCTGCTCCGGGTCCTCTCCATCTTTCTTTTCTACGTTATTATTAGTTTCCGTCACACAGTCTGTGATCTCAATTGTCGGCACAACGATTTTATTGCGGCCATTTTCACTTAATTTATCAACATTTTTTCGAGTTATCTTATCTTCTTCACTACTGTTGCCGTCTTTATTATCGTCACTCTCAACTATTATTGATAGAGGTCGCCTCTGTTCTTTTCCTGGCGACGATTCCTCTTTTTTACCTCCCATACTGAAGATCTCTTGTCACTCTTCCAGTGGTTGATTAAAATTTAAAACCATTTTTTTCTGAAAAGAAATATATTATAATGAATTCAAAACAAGACAAATATAAACATAAAATTTAATCCAAACAAAATTCTTGCCTAGTTGTTATTGAAAGCTTCATCATATAATATGCATTGAATTCAAAATAGAAATTAATCTCTACTATTTTTGCCGAGTTGTTATTGAAAGTATCCTATGATATATGAAATAAATTGAAAACAAGATACAATATAAAAATAAAATTTATGATCAGTATATAAATAGAAATGATTAGATGTTATTTTTAAAATCTTACAAACGCTTTTTGATAAATTTATGAGGAAACTCGGACATTTGTGTTTGGTGAAAAAGGATAACAAGATTGTCATTGACAGTTTAAGACTGCTATTGTCTATATTAAGTACAGATTTATTTCGTGTTTGACAAGTTGAAGAAAGGGGGCTTTGATTCATCTTCAGTCGTCTGTTAAGTTTGAAGTATATTTCTGTAACAAAGCTAATATCTGTTTTAAAATACATTGACAATTACAATATAGCTTGTAGGAAAATCAATAAAAAAAATATTCCTATAACTAAAAATCTTGTTCAAAGCATGACACAATCAGAAACTGCAATAGCCACCTTTCTTATATCACGCAAGCTTGTAAATGCAGTGATTTGATTGGATTGTACACTAAAGAATACAGCCAATCAGAACCCTTGACTTTGACTGTAATCTTTTTGGCTGATGGTTGGCAGGCATACTGTTGAAGGCTTTCATTGGCTGTATTTGCTATCGTACAATCTAATCAAATCGCTGCATTCCAAAATACATGAAAGGTGGCTATTGCAGTCAAGGTACGGTGAAATTAGTAATAGTTTGACATTGTAAAGATGGTAGATACCTGGCTTTGAATAATTTGGCTTCCGATTTGAATAATTTGCAATTCATTATGTGTTATGAAGATACGAAATATTGATATATAGCCTGTATTTAAGATTTTATAAGAGATACTCCCTTATAAAAAGCACTGGCCTAGGTCACAAGTAGAGACTGTGGATTTCAGCATTGGAATACATCAATTTGAAAGGAAATTACCTACTTCTGGACTGGTATGATATATCAGCTGACTGTGAGTTATGACAGGAGACTATCTAATTTATCTTAAACATGGTCTTAAATATCTCTATTATTAAATTAATTTGATCTGTCATAACAATATGTAGAAATTGTCATTTTATTTATTAGTTATTTCAACAATGACTAGTAATCTAGATATCACCTTGCCTGGTGTATGTGCCTACTTAGAACAGGTCATGTCATTTCTGGAGACTCTGCCATATATAGATAAGACGTATATAGAAATAGCGAATGAAATTTCTTGTTTGAGATATAATTAAAGGAATTATGCGATTGTTCTAATACTTCTGAAGACTATTTACATATATTCAAGACCCAAATCAACCCCAAAATGTTGAACAAGGGCCTTTAATTAAGATATTCAATTGTCTATAGGGTACGACATGACGTCAGTTTTGACATTTATGACCAATATCTTATAACTCTTGTTTACAGTCATGATTTAGGCATCATTAACTTTTATTGTTTGTTTATTTACTCTATTGTTGTTATTGTTGTGTTTAATGATTTTAATGTGGTCTATTTTTGTTGGTAGAGCTTCGAAAGGGTTTTTATTTTATGAATTTTCACATTGGTTTTGCAGAGTTACTGTCCTTGACTTGAATTATTTTGAGTCTATTTGTATGGTATAATATTAGTGTATAAATTATTCAATGCTGTCAGTTCTGATTTAGTTTTCACAACTTCATTGAAAGTCTCTTAACACATCTCTCTATAGACTCTACTTTTAGTGACAATGATAAAAACTACAGATACAATTGCTGTAATCGCAATACTTGAAGGAGCATACCCATGTATTTAAATACACACTACAGTCACAAAACTTCAAGGAGGATACCCACTTGTACAAATATACTTAAAGGATCAAACTCACTTGTTAAATAGAAATAATCCTAGAAAATTTCCCCCATTGCAAACTGCATGGCTTTAATCCTCTCCAATCAACCAAGTGGAAATTAGCTGGTATATAGAACGTAAAGCTCCCGTATTGCTCAGTTGAATATTCAATGATAAAACCTACATATATTATGGCTGTTATCACAAAACTTAGTGAAACGGGGGCCAGAGTTTTATAAATCTTCCAAATTGTCTTGTATAAATGCTTGTCAAGTCGTCTTCGTTTTCTAAAATCCTTCATAATTGTATATAAAGTCCTTTTTTGGGGGGTATTTATATCCTGATAGCAGACTATATCGTGTATTGACATGTAATATAATGATAACATGCATTAAGATAAGATTATAAGCCTGAAATTTAGCTGTAGTATATGAAATAAGAGATAAAACGATGTATTTAGAAATACGATTGATATGACAGCTTGACAAAAGACTTGTAACTCCACATGGGTGTAGGTACACTTAGTTTTTATTTAACCCCTACATTTTTATTTTATTGTGAAGAAAGAGAGCTTAGTGAGTTAGACACTTGCATTTCCTTGCCTTAGTACATCTATTAAAATGATGGGGGTTGGGCAGCATGTGCCTGTGAGCTCTTAGTGATTCTGTGATCTCAACTCCTGTATTGACAAAATGTCTTTTAAAGCACACTGCATGGTGTTTCCTGCAGTGGCATTTTTAGGAGGTTGACTCCCCAATTTCCAATTTTTATCATTCTACATAGTGAAAGAATCACCTGTGGCCCACCACCCCTAGAAAATTTTTAGCCCCTTCAACTAAAATTTCCTAGAAAAACAAGTGATTGCCTGTTTCTCTCAGCCTAATTTTAACAGACAAGTAGGATGTAAAACTCCACTTCAATTCAGGTTATACTGTAGCCTGGATTAGCTGTGTTATTTCCTTAAAATATATTACAGCACCATGACTAGTGAATTAACTAACTTTATATAGAAGTTTATTTATTTAAGGTGGCAGTGTATGTTAAACACATGTTACATTTGACACTTAAACTTAGTAACATTCTTCTCTTATACTAGTACATTACTTATTACTTACAGAGGGGTAGAGGGGTGGGGAGAGAGAGTTAACTACCCTTCCCTACTTCCTCTCTTTCCTCTCTTCCCCAACCAAAACTCAAAGAATGGCTTCTCTTCTCCTTCCCTACCCTTTATCTTCTCACCCCCTTCCCTCTCTCATACCCTCCTCATCCCTCTCTTACCCTTCTCTTACCCCCATCTTCCCCTCTTCCTCAGCCTTCTCTCTTCTACCCACCTCTTCCCCTACCAAAACTCAGAAGAATGGCATCTTACCTCTACTCTCTAAGACTTCCTTTCACACAATGACAGACATACCTTTCTTTTATTTTAAAATAATCCTCTTCAAATCTTCACAGTTCAAACCTTGATCTCAACAATACAGAGTTAAAGAGTTTAAGAAGGCAAGAATAGTAAAACTGAGATTTAAAGAGTGTTTGAAATCCAGGTCTAATCCGTAACAACAAATAACAAAACAAAGGTGCTCATAGTTAAAACATAATCCACATTTTAAATCAAACAACCTAAATACTTCTTAGACTTCAGACATTTTCCAATATAAGGACGTCTGAACTTGAATTGTTTTGAATTGAGTTCAAGATGACATTGGGCTGCCTCTCGGAATCACTGGCACAGACATTTCTTATTACTTATTTTCGTACCTTGAGGAGGATTCAAACCCACGGCACCTAATTGCCTAGCAGACGACGATCTAGCTCGCTACCAACTGAGCTATTCCACTTTATGAATGGTGGGTTTGGGTTTTCACAATTTGACAATGTCAAACTATTACAAACAGCATCTTATACCTTGACTACAATAGCCACTGTTCTTGTATCAATTTGTCCCTCAAATCCATGAAAGAATTTAGCTCACAATATCTTGTATGATTGCAATACACCAAAAGATTATAGAGAAAATGTAGATCACCAAACCATTTATACAGCACAATATTTTGACTAACACAGCCAAATGATAAAGATTAGAAACGTACCTCACAAACAAGAATTTATGCAAGTTAAATTTAAACCATGAATCACTCATAAAACCTTCCTTTTCAAACAAATTACCTCATTTTAGAATGTATCCCTAGTAATACACATTATAAGTATGAAACCTAGTGGAGTATTGAAGCCATAGTCAACTGTTTCCATTCAACTGTCATCTCAGTGACAATCTTAACATAATGTAGGTGTCTGGTATCCTAGTAGTATAGTGTAGGTGTTAGACTCATCTAGTCAGCAGGAGTTCTGTTTCTACTGTTTTTACCAGTCTAGTTATACTCTATTTCTAACATAATGTAGGTGTCTGGTATCCTAGTAGTATAGTGTAGGTGTTAGACTCATCTAGTCAGCAGGAGTTCTGTTTCTACTGTTTTTACCAGTCTAGTTATACTCTATTTCTAACATAATGT